CAGATTGTTGATAGATCTTCCACCAATCCTAACGCCACGCGTCTTCTCATAGAGCCCAGCCTTTCAGATAATCTACTCTGCATACAGGTTGAAAAGGTATGGAGATAGGACACATCCCTGGAGCACACCCTTCTAGAACTCTTGAAATTAGAGCTCTTTATAAAACCAATAATGTTTGGCAGATAATTTAAAACAAAAAAGGATCAAGTTCTTATTTATATTTAGATGCTTTTGTTTTAACCTTTATTACTTGGGCTTTAATGTTTTTGCATGACATTTCATGGTGATAATGATTGTGTTGTTGTTAGGTGCCATCGAGTGTGACTCATAGTAACCCTATGAACAACAGACCTGGACCCTGTCCTACCCTGTGCTACCCTCATAATCCTGTCATGTTGCTAACACACTCAAATCCATTAGTGTAGTCACTGTGTCAACCCACCTGGGGGGGTTGATGGTCTTCCTGCCCTTTGCCATCCCCCCACCTTTCCAAGTATAATGTTCCTCTCGAAGGAATAGCTTTTCCTAGCAACATGCCCTAAGTATACAAGATGAAGCTTTGTCATCATTGCCTTCAAGGAGCACTCTGGCTATACCTTCTCCAATACATACCTGTTTGTTCTTTTAAGACTCCTTTATAAATTGGTCTGTAAGAGAGAAAAATATCCATCAATAACCCAACTTCTCAGTTGGCATTTCTTTTTCTCATGTAGATAATGTTCAGTTCTACTAGAGCGAGCTCTGGTGATCTAATGGTAAGACCCTGCACTACAATCCCGAAGGCACACAGTTTGAGTTGATCAGGTTCAAATAAGCCAGCTGCTCCATGGGAGAAGGATGGACAGACTTCTCCCATGGTATTAACAGCCTCTGAGAATCTGCCGGATGGTCAGCTATGGGTTAGTTCTGACTTGACAGTATTCAACAACAACATTAGAGTGATAGCAACAACAACATTACAGTGATAGAGTTTTAATAGAATGTTCAAGATGGCAGCACTATGAGTGGTGGTTGTAGTCGAGTTGACCGTGATTCATGGCAACTTGATGTACAACAATCAAACATGTTGTTGTGGTGGTGGTGCACCTTCCAGTTGGAACTGACTTGTGGCTGAATTTCCAGCTAGTTTTCAGAGGCAGTAAATTCACAATGGAGGAAATTGTCCCTCTTTCTCCCTTAGAGCAGCTACTGGATTCAAACTGCATGCCTTTGGCTTGGCAGTGCAACTCCTTATCATTAAGCCATGAGACGTTCCAAGAAAACAAACAAAAAACCCCAAATGTACTGCTATTAAGCTGATTTTTTAAAATAAAATTTTCATGTTATACATGTTTACTTACAAAGTTTGTATACATTCTTTTTTCACACGATATCTTTCCCATTTTCTTTATCTGCCCCTCCCTCTACCCATCAAAACTGTGCGACTCTATGATTACCCCTCTGCTCCAACCCTTCCCTCTTAGATCCTCATATGTGTTTTACTAGTTATCATTCTATTTCTACATGGTTATTAAGTTGATTTTGATTCATAATGAACCTCCATTGGTTTCTGAGGCTGAAAATATCTACAGAATGAGATCGTAAATCTTTCTCCCACAGAGCAGTTGTTATATTTGAACTACCTCTCTTTTGGTTAACAGCCCAACGTGGAATGGAACACATGATGCCACTGGGGCTCCTATTGATACTGTAATTCCAAAGATGCATATAAGTCCGATTAGCACTCAAGAGAGTGATCTATCTGTAAGATAAAATAGTTACACTATCAAAAGGAGTAGAGGTGATGTTAATCAAGCAGGAGTATTCCTTTCCTGATACCTTCTAGCCTAGGAGGGAGACTTACTTTACTTTTGCATTTTTCTTTCTATTTAGAGTCAAATGATGAGTTGTGGATTGGGTTGAATGACAACAAGATTCAAATGTACTTTGAATGGAGTGACGGGACTCCTGTGACATTTACCAAATGGCTGCGTGGAGAACCAAGCCATGAAAACAACAGGCAGGAAGACTGTGTTGTGATGAAAGGCAAGGTAAGACAACCTGGATTACCAATATTTAGCAAAAGCCAAGTTCACGCCATATAAAGAAGGAGCTGTTCCCTTCCGCTCTATTATGTATAATTGTCTAGATCATTTCTATCATAGGTAAACTGACATAGGTCAAACCAAATTTCAGATTCTTTGAAACCTCTTCCAGTTGTCTAACAAAGTAAAATTTCCAGAAATACAGAAGGGCAACAGCCAGAAATTTTTAGCTCAAGGTTGAAATCAAACACAAACTAATGTTCACATTATTCTCAGGCTATTATGTTTAATATTACAAAATATATATATATATATATGTATATTTTGTTCATTAAAGTATATATACATAGATGTGTGAATATAAATACACACACATATATCTGTGATTATATATACACATGCCCACATATCTCTGAATATTTATATACATACACATATATCTCTGAATATTTATATACATACACATATATCTCTGAATATTTATATACATACACATATATCTCTGAATATTTATATACATACACATATATCTCTGAATATATATATATATATATATATATATATATATGTTATTGTTGTTGTTGTAGCATGCTGTCAAGTCACTTGTGACTCATAGTGACCCTATGTAGAACCCTGCTTTATCTTGAGATAATTTCATTGTCTTTGACAAAACTCGCCCCATTACCCTAGTTACTGAGTCAATCCAGCTCATCCAGGGTCTTCCTCTCTTATGCTGTCCATCCACCCTTTCAAGCATGATGTCCTCTGAGGACTGGTCCCTCTTGGCAGTATGCCCAAACTATGTAAGATGGAGCTTCAAAATCCTTGCCTTCAAGGAGCAGCCTGGTTTTACCATCTCCAGGACTGACCTGTTTGTTCTCTTAGGAGTCCTTGGTCTTCTCCAGCACCACAACTTAAAGGCATCAATTTTTCTTCTATCATCTTTAGTTATTGTATAGCTCTACACACACACACACACACACACACACACACACACACACACTTGATTGAGCAAATTAGAGTTTTCATTGGTTCTACTTTCAACTGTTGCTTTGAGAAAATGCAGATCTAGTTAGATCCATTCTGGAATCTACAGTCTGCAACCTGTACTTGGAGAACTAGAGCTGGGAGTGGGGGATTGAATTGTTGTTTTTGGGTAATGTAGAGTTGGAACTTACCCTCCAGCAGGTTTTCAGAGGTAGTAAATCACACGGGAGGAGATTACCCAACTTTTTCCCGTTGCCTTTCTCACGTGTCTTTGAGATTTCAGTGTAGCTTCTTACACCTACACCATCAGAACTCTGTGGGAAAAATGAATGAAGGCATTAAAATATCGAAGACTGCTTTAATGTTTTAGATATGAAATTAGCAACTGAAGGATGTTGTAACATTTTCTTTTGTTCATGGAGGATGAACATCGTAGCTGAAAGACTGTATTTTGCTGTGTTACTTACTTCCTTATTTCCAAAATAGGAATAGTAATTATACCTACTTCACATGGTGTGTGGATGTAAGCTTGAAATGGGCTAATGTATATGCAGCGCACAGTGTCTTCTCAAAGTTATCAGTCAAGACATACTAGGTATTATTTTTCCATATTGATTGTCATTACTGACTGATAGATTAATCAAAAGGCAGGATTTAGTAATCTAAAGAGTAGATGAAAGAGTGTCCTGGACTGAGGAAACCATCCTTATAAGGACGGAAAGAACAATATGGCTGAAAATGCAGAGATAGATGTGGAGGAGTGGATGGGAATGCTAGCTTGAAGTTAAAGAAATGTGTATAAGCTCCAGAGTGACAAGACTAAAATTTCAGTTTACAATTATTACTGTATGAGTTTCTCAGTGCTGCTAACGTGTTTTTATAAACTTGGTAAGCTTATAAAACTATAACCTTATTCTCTGGAGTCTGGAAGTTTTAATTCAGAGTTTCAGTAAAAGTAGCTCCTTCGATTTGCTGTAAGGGAAGATCATTCCTTGCATTTCCAGTGTCTGTGAGCCTGGGAGGTTTTTTCTTTTTTTAATTCATTAGATTGTAAGTGTATTTTCACATAGCTTTATTCTCCTGTGTTTCTGTGTCTGATCTCTTCTTTTTTAAAGACAAGCTTCATATTGAATTAAAATTCACCTTATCAAAGTATATTAAAACATATTAAAAGTACATAAAAACTTTAAAAAAAACAGTGTTTCTAAACAGAGGTCACAATCACAGGTAGTAAGGTTTAGACTTGAGTTTATCTTTGGAGCTAGATACAATTCAATCCTTAACAACTACTCTAGCTACTGGGTTAAATACTAGACTGAGACTGCAGTAGATTGAGATGAATGATCAATAAAGAATTGGACTTTCTCAAGATGCTTAACTTTTTAAAAAAAAATTATAATTTTTAAAAATTTTAATAATTTTAATGAACATTTACAGGGATTTTGGATTTCCATTCATTCATTGCTGCACTTCTCTCCCCGCCCAGCCCCCAACCCAAAGTTCACTCCTCTCTTTGAAAAGTAATAGAAAAACTCCCTCCCTGGTACATAATCCCCTGCATCCCTCCCACCGCCCCAAGCCAAGTACATTCCTGTATGCAACCTTAATTGTGGACTCTTGTGATAACCATAATACCCTATCATACATCGCTTTTGAATTATTCTCTCCCTCATCTGTTTCAGTGTAGTATACACAATTTATCCAGTTTTTCTCAGTCTTACCTCAACCCTGATATCAGTCGCATCATGCAGTATTTGTCCTTTTGCGACTGAGATATTTCACTCAGCATAATGCCCTCCAGGCTCACCCATTTTGAATAATATTGCATAAGCTCCTTGTTTTTCAATGCAAAGATGCTTAACTTTTAAGAGACGTTGTAGCCAACATCAAGGTTCTAAGGAAATGGAAGGGCATTAGCATCTGAGGCAAGGTGGATGCTTTAGTTGTAGACCCAAAAGCATAAACTTATTGAAATAAGAAGGAAAGAGGAAGGCTAATGATAGATTCAGAGGTATTTTCAGATTTGATGTGTTGGATGAGGAACAGTTTTTGTGTTTTGATTTTTAGTTTAGTTTAGAGAATTTTTTTTGTCTCCCCTTGATGGCTTCTATGTCCTTGGTCAACTAGAAGACAGAACTGATCATAAAGATTGATAGATTGCATACAAATCTTTTGGGCTGGCAGATAGTGGCAGTAGATTCATATTGGCAACTAACCCATGGTGACACATATAGTTTTCATTGGTTAATTTTTAGAATTAGAATTCCAGGCCTTTCTTCTAGTCCATTTTGGTTTGGAAGCTCAGCTGAAATCTGTTCAACATCACAGAAGTTCATTGGCCAGAAGTACTTTTTAATCTTGATCATGAAATGTAGTAATTCTACTTCTGAACCACCAGTCTCTCTCAGTCCCCTTTTCACTTCTGCTAAATAATGGTTTGACTGTTCAAAAATATAAAATTGTACTAGGGTTGAGAAGATAATTGAATATATCATGGACTGCTAGGAGAACAAACAGGTCCATCCAGGAGAGGGTGAAACCAAGCTGCTCCTTGGAGGCAAGAATTTGGAAGCTCTGTCTGACATACTTTGGACAGGTTACCAGGAGATACCAGTCCTTGGAGAAGGACATCATACTTGGGAGGGTGGAGAGACAGCACAAGAGAGGAAGATCCTGGATGAAATGGATTGGCCCATGATTGGGGCAATGGGCTGTAGGTGGTCAGAGACAATGAAGTTGTCTCAAGATAGAGCAGGGTTCAGAGCTATTGTACATAGGTCACTATGAATTGAAGCTACTTAAAGGCACATAACAACAACAACAACTAGGATTTATGTGTGTGGTTTTTTTTTTATATCTTTGTAGTTAAAGTAAAATTTGCTCTTTATAGGTCAAGCTGCACTTTCTCTATGTTAGTACCATCTTCTCTTAATAACCTTGAATCTTTGTTTTTCTTACCTGAAACACAAGATGGCAATACCTAAGTCAAACTGCTGAGAAGCCTTCACTTTTTCTCTTTATCCTTTGCAGGATGGATACTGGGCTGATCGTGCCTGCGAGCGGTCTCTTAACTACATCTGCAAGATGAAAGCACAAACTCCAACTCCAGGAATTGTGGAAGTAGAAACAGGCTGCCGGAAAGTGAGTACCGAAAGTACACAGTGGCTTAAGATCAGCAAATATTTGGTAGACTTAGCTTTATTTCATTCTATAATGTATGTAAAAAGTGCTTTATTGGCATCATCAATACAACAGATGTTACAACTGTTTAATGGTCAGGGGTCATGACTTGTCAGTGCTCTGTAACAGAGCAAGGAGAGGGTGAGGAGACTAAGGCAGGTCACAGAGGAATGTGTCAGGTCAGAGGAAGGTGTCATTGAGGCATTGGTGGTCTAAGATGTCAGAGTACAAGTAGGAGATCTTAAATTGCTAATGGCAAGCTATCTTTAGAAATCTTTTCTGATTATTATGAATTCTGCTGAGTCTACTGCTGGTAGAAATTATCAGCAAATCCCTTCAAGAGAAATCAGTAGGACCTAGACTCCAAGTGGTGTTGGCAATGACTCAGTTAAATGAAATAAAGTCGCCTAAGTGTATTAGGCTTGAACTTCATCTATAGAACTGAATAACACCTCCTTGCACATCTTTCTTTGAGGATAAAGTAAATAATTGCTATGAAACGATTTTAAAAATCATTGACAAACCACACAAATACACAATTAATGGTTATTTTCATGTTTGCTGATCTTCCTCTTTTTTTTCTTTTCTCACTTCTCTTGGATAAAAATAAAGTGGTGACTAATTTTCTTTCCAAGATTGTTGTGATAAAGTGATCTTAAAGCAAATATATTGGGTTTGAAAAGTTTGTATAAATAAAATTTAGTATCGTACAAATAAACTATAAAGAGTGGGACAGATACATAAAAAGTTTTTATAAATAGTCCATATATTCTTGAATAGAATATACTTTCCTATTAACCACAAGATATAGTTTTAGCATATTTAATTTTGACTAGATAAAATTTGGCTATTTATAGTCATTAATTATTATTAATAGTTTATGCTTGTTCTGTCATTTATTGCAAGATAGGTACTAAATTCTACCTCTATTAATATGGATTTGCCCTTTTTTTCTTATAATTTTATATTAATTTTAGTTTTATATACTTTGAGAACATGTTGCTGTATCTTCTTAATGAATTTATCTGTTGATTATTATGTAGTTGCTTTCTTTGTTCCTATTTTTCTAACACGAAAACTATTTTACCAAAAAAAAAAAAACAACCTATTTTACCTAATATTAATATTGCCTAAAAGATGTCTTTTGTTTTATAATCCCTAGTACCTCATTTTTGAGCTCATTGTTTATGACTATTCTATGACATTTATGTCTTAGAAATATTTTGTAAGTATATATATTGGAACTTTTATTTTTCAATCTAAGTTGAAGAACTCTGTCTTTTAACTGGCAGAAAAATAAGTTCATATTTCTTTTATTTACTAGTATTTGAATTTCTTTATAATATTTTTGTGTTACTTTTTTTTTATTAGTCTTTGTTTGCTTGTTTTTCCTTCATTCTTGACTCTTACTGGGTCTATTAAGTATCTTCATTCCATTCCACTCCTACCAATTTGGGAATTAACACTCTATTTTATAAAAGAATACCTTAGGGGAGCTCTGGTGGCCTAGTGGCAGGAAGCTGCACTGCAGTCCCAGGGGTATGCAGTTCAAATCCACCAGATGCTCTGCTGGAGAAGGAGGTACAATCTCCTCCTGTACTGATTTGACAGTACACACACAAAAATAATAAAATAGAAATTTTTTTTAAAAAGGATACCTTAATTTTAACAAGCATTCCTAACTAGACAATATTAAAATGAAATTTTTAAGATTTTGTTCAGATTCATGAACAAAATGAAGATTTCTGTTGAATGTTTACAATTTTTAAAGTTTATTTTGAAATAATTTTAGACTTTTAAGAAGTTACAAGAATAGTTCTAAGAGTTCCCTAGACTATCTACTCAGCTCCCTTTAGTAATATAATAGCATCTTAAAAAAATGTGAATATATCCTCAAAATCTAATTTATGTATGCTAGTATAGAATTTTAGAATTACAGCTGTTTTCAGGCAATAAATTATGTATATCTATTCAGCCTTTAATTTTGCCTATAAAATTTCAATTATCAAATAATGCTTCTTCTTTTAACTAGCACACTTTTCTTCCTGGTTGATTTTAAGATCTATTGTCTTTGGCATTTTGCAGATTAATTACAATGTGAATACAATTAGATTTGTTTGTTTCACCTGATACTTAGTGTACTTTTTCATATTGAATATGCATATTTTTCCTTACATCCTTGAAACTTATCAGCCATTAGTTTCATTCTCTGCTTCTGAAATTTCTCTTATATCGATCTTCATCTTTTTCATTTAATGATCCATATTTTATTTATCCTTTTAAAGTCTCTTTATTTCTCTATATCACATTATTTCAGCCTAATTCTCTATGAACCCCTCTTTATTGCATTTAGTATTGTTGTTGTTATGCGTCATCGAGTCACTTGCGGTCATAGTGACCCTATGACCTGCTCTATCCTGTTAACCTTTCCTCTGACACACTTTCCCTCATTACCATGGTCACTGAAACAATCTTGTCAATGGTCTTCCTCTTTTTCATTGCCCCTCTACCCTTACAAGTATGATGTCCCATTCTAAGGACTGGTTCCTCCTTGTATCACGCCCAAAGTATGTACACGAATCCTCAGAATCTTTGCCTCCAAGGAGCAGCCTGGTTTTACCATCTACAGAATGAAACTGCTTGTTCTCCTGGCAGTTCATGGCATGTTCAGTACTTTTCTCCAGCACCACAATTCAAAGGCATCAATTTTCTTTGTCATCTCCAGTCATTGTCCAGCTTTCTGACACATAGCAAGCAGTTGCAAAGACTATGGCCTGGATCAGGCACACCTTAGTCTTCAGAATAATGTCATTGCTCTTCAGTTCTCTGGAGAGGTTCCTTACAGCAGACTTTCTCAATGCAATTCATTGTTTGATTTCCTGGCTGCTGGTACAAAGAGTGTTGATTGTGGAGCCAAACAAACTAAAACTGTTAACAATCTCAATCTCTTTATTATCTATCATGATGCTGCCAATAGGCCCAGTGGTAAGAATCTTTGTTTTCTTGATGTTGAATTTCAATGCATATTGAAGGCTGCAGTCCTTGACCTTCTGACTGTACTTTTGTTTTGTGGGCATTCCAATTTTTTTTCCAAATCCTCCTGTCCTTTAATCATAGCATTTTAATTTTTCATTATTGGTTTTACATCTTCTTTAGTTATTTAAATATCTGAAACATGACTTTAAAATAGTCTTTCTTAAATTACTCTATACACTTGTCAATTGTCTCTTAAAATGAGACATTTATCAGATGGAGTACTTTTTGAGGCTGCATTAGTCCTTATTCGATGTCCCTAGATACTGTGAATTCATTTTTTCTCACATTGTGATCTCATATCGTGTCTGCCAAGTGGTTTTGCATTTTGTTTATTTGGATCCTTAAGTTTTCCCTCTGTAGGCCAAGTTTTGTTTGTGGATTCACTTACATGATCTGTGAAACTTGTTGACTTGGAAACCATCTACAGACCTGAAACCTCTGTGCAGATTTGGATTTTGGTTTTTAAGCAGAAGACTTTTTAAAAGAAAAAAATCTGAATTTGGAACTCCAGACGGATTACATGAATATATGTCACTTCCTGGTTCTCTGGGTAGAATTTCCTAACTCTCCTATTAAGGAAGGGCTTCCCTTAGTGAAAATCATTATTTATTTAAGGAGCTCATTTCCATCTTCCTGCTTCATTTGGCAAAAAAAGGCCAACCAACCTAATCTGAATGGTTTTGTAACATCCCGGCTCTTTGAACCTACAACTTTATTCAAGATCTAATACACCTAAAGGGAGCTCTCATGGCCTAGTGAACAGCACTGCTAACCCAAAGGCAGGAAGTTCAAATCCACCTGCTTCTCTGAGGGAGAAAGATGACCAATCTCCTCCTGTAAGATTTATAGGCTCTGAACACTCTCTAGAGGACCAGCGATGAATCGTTCTTATTCAGTGGCCCTTAATAACAACCCATCAAAATTTCAGCTGTGCATTTTTTCTCCCAGCTTTTAGTTTTTCTTCTTTTCTTCTTATTGTTACTTCCTGGAGATTTCCTTAAACTCCTAGAGTAAGAGTTTACTTTCTGTCTTTTCTTTTGTTTGCTTGTTTTGTTTACTGATATGTTTTTATGTGACATTTCTGTGTGTTTGAAATACGAGGAACTATGCCAATTGTGTTGCCATGGCTATGTGATCTAGCTCTGTTCTCACCATCTTTTATTGATCTCATTTGACAACTAAAATTGCTGTTCTTGAAAATATTTCCCGTGGGTTCAATTTCCCTGGCAAATGATTCAGTTTTTGCTAAAAGATATGTCAATAAGTGAAAACCTTCCCTCTCTCTAGTTTTGTATCTTAGTTATGTGAAGACTACTGCTTTAATATTTTCTTTATTTATATAAAATGATCTCTGATAGTATAAAGCATTGTGTGTTAAGCTACTAGGCAGAAGTTCAGTGGTTTGAATCTACCAGCTGCCGTTCAGAAGAAAGCTGGGCAGATTCCTCCAGTAAAGATTTAGGGCCCCAGAATGCAAGTGGAGGTTCACCATGAGTTGGAATCAACTTGAGGCGAGAGAGCTTGGTTTTATTCATGTAAATTAAATTATTCATATTTGTGTCCTTTGGACATGTCTATTGTTTATCAGTTTATGCTTCCAGATAATTTCAGAGGAATTTTATCATTTTCCCTTTTTCATTGCTACTGAGTTAGAACTGACACATAGCTGGCCCAGGAAAGGGTTTCCGAGGCTGTTAATTGCATGAGAGGAGAATGTCCGTCTTTCTTCTGGAGCCACTGGTGAATTTAAGCCTCCTGAGAAATGTGGCCTTTGAGTTAGTAGCACAACCTTCGTAGTTGAGGTCACCACAGCGCCCCTCTTAGAAAAATTATTAAATAATATATATCTTAAATACTAATGTCATCAGCTAATATTTTATTACTTGATATTAACAGGGCTGGAAAAGGCATGGATTTTACTGCTACTTAATTGGACACACACTTTCAACATTTACTGAAGCAAACCAAACCTGTGGAAATGAGAATGCTTATCTAACAACTATTGAAGACAGGTATGTAATTGCTCTAATCTTAACAAATAGAAAATAATCTTTCACAAAAGTTAGAAACAATGAACTATGAACGTGCTCTCAATCAAAGTAAATTTTCTTAAGTTGTGTATAATTGTAGGAACATGAAAAGAATATCCTTATTTAAATTCTTTATTGGAAAGACAAAATATATTGCTTTTAATATTATAAAGTTATATTTACAACAGCTATTCCACTAATAACTTAGTAAATAAATGCAGCTAAAAGATAAAACTTTTTTTTCTGATGTATATTACATGCTAAAACTTATAAAGCATGAAAGTGAGTAAAATTTATCAGCACAAAGTCTCACCTATTTTTGCAGCTCCCTTAATAATAAAACATAAAGAGATTTTATGAACACTTCACTCATTATTTTACTCATTCTTTCAATTCTTTGCTTTGTTATGCTTCACAAAGTTGCTGTCTTTTTTAAATACAAAAAGAATGTGGCCAAATTAGGCTGAACTCATAGATTGAAGAACAAGTTCCCCAGAGCCGCGGAGAGTGTTAAGTCTAGAATCATGTGTGGCTCTTTCAGTATTACAGATGCCAAGGACCTCGCTCCAGACAGCCTGATTTCAGGTGGTTGGGAAGCCCAAGCACCTGTATTTTAAGGCTTCCTGGGTGATGTTGATCACCAACCAGATTTGAAAATCACAGAGTAGGAAATCTGTACCATGCTGCGTGGAGCCCTTATCAAACAATTCTACAGGTTTTATGTTTGTTCAGCAAGTTTTTAAAAAAAATCAACAAACAGAATGGAACTTGAAAGACCTTCATAGTGAAAGTCTAGAAGACACAAATCTGAGGTATAAACCTAATGTACCAGATGTTGTTGTGTTGTTGCTAATTGCCATTGAATTGAGCATGACTCAAGCGATCCTATGAACAAAAGACCTGAAGCCTTTCTATATCTATTGTCATTTATCAAAGTTCATAGAGTTTCCAGAGGCATGTTGTTTAGGAAGTGACTGCCACTTCTGCTTCCAAACATGTTTTAATCTTGGGGCTCCACCAAACACTGTCCACCATGGGTAAACATTATGACATTCGGCACTCCACTGGCACAGAGTTCAGCATCACAGCCACTCCAGGTTACAGATCAATGCTGCACCACTGAGAAGAACGTTCCTCCAAATTATAATTGAACTAGGCCCTTGGGCCCAACCTACAAAAATAGAAAGGCCCTCCAGTAGGTGGTGTTGACTCTAAACAAGAGGCTTTAAATAAAAACATCTTAACATTTCACATGACCCTCAACAAGAGAGGCCACCTTTCAGAGTAGAACTGCTTCCCCCAGTTTCCCTTTCATCTGTTGTTGTTCTTACGTGCTATTTAGTCGAGTATGACTTATAGAAACCCTATGAACAGAAGACCTGAACTCTATTCTGTAACTATCAGATAATATCCTCCAATCTCAAAAAGTCTCAAAATATCTGGTAGAAAAAGCAAAACTCTCAGATCTTTGATATAATGATAGAGAATCCCATGAGGGGTGTGGTACAAAACTAAGAAGTCTAAATACAAGAGCTACATAGTCTATTTCAAAATGAAACAGCTCTATAAATCAGGGCATGTAAAGTCTAGATCAATAACTGAATGTAAAAGGAGTTGGAATTTTAAAAACTCAACTGAAACTTCGTGTGAGTTAGCACTCTGATCAGTGAAATGAACTAAAGTAATTGTTACATTTCCATTTCTAATTAAGTTCTCTGAAAATAAAATTCCCTTTTTACAAATACTTCACACTGAAGATTGGGCCATGGTGCTGGTATTGCGGCCACACATCAAACGTGACCTGGACACTACTGTTAAATCTGTGAAATATTCAAATGACTTACAACAGGAGAAATAATGCAAAGAATGGGGATTGTTTCGACTGGGACAAAGTAATGACAGATTCAGTAGAGAAATATAATACCATGACTTCTCGTCAGGGTGCTTGACTAATTCTGAGTAGTGTCTCGGGAGGGCATTGAGATCAACAAAGGAGTAAGGTTTCATCTTAGGAAAACATTTTAGACTAAGCAACGGCCTCAAACGAACCTCTGAGAAGATAGCACTTATGTGATTCCAGTCACAGAAATCACTTAAATGGATGTTGATGTAAGTGTGCTGTTGTTTTTTACCTCTTGAATTCCTTTCATTTAAGAGTTTTTGCTGATAATAGGTGCAATTGAGTCCGTTCTCCTTCACAATGATTCTAAAACAGAGTGAAACTGTCACACAGAGTTTCCAAGTTGTCATTTTTATGGGTTCAGATTGACCTTCCCCCACGGAGCTGCTGGTGAGATTTTGGTTAGCACACAAGCACTTAACTATTGTGGTACCGGGACTCTTTTTTAAGAATGTTAGAGTTACATATTCTTCACCTGTTGTTTGTAAAGTAGTGAAGTTATTACAGAAATCACTTAAAGAGAGTTCATTTTACTTGCAATAAAAAAAATAATTATTTACTGAGTTTTTAAACACAATCATTATATTTGTTCATTTTTTAAGATAGAGCCAATAAAAATTGAGGGTGGTGGTGGGCTATAATAGCATAGGATGTGTTGGTGGCCTTGTGGTAAGGATTTGTAATGCCAGTCCAAAGGCACAAGGTTCAAATTTACCCCCATGGGAGAAAGATGGGCAATCTCCTGTGTGATTTATAGCCTCTGAAAACCCTCAAGAGGGTCAACTATGAGTCAATTCTGACTTGACATCACATAAAACAGCAATATATTGCATTTTGTGATAGTCTGATAACCAAAAGATCAGTGGTTCGAATCCACCAGCCATTCCAAGGGAAGCAGATGGCTAGTCTCTTCCCAGAAGATTTACAGCCTGGAAAACCTGATGGCAGGCTTCCAGGAACAGAATCATCTCAAGAGCAGTGGGTTTGCCCTTTTAGCTATTGGTATGAAAATGTTTTTCTAAAGCTGAAAGGTGTGATAGCATTTGCATAACTTTGTGAAAGAGCTTCTCATCAACCACTATTCTTTCACATACAAAATAATCCACTTCTTTTGAGTCCAGCCTGACTCATATTAACCTTATAGGACAGACTAGAACTGCATGTAGGGTTTGGGAGGTTGTAAATCTTTAAAGAAGCAAACTGTTTCTTATCTTTCTTCCTCAGGGCAGCTTGTGGACTTGAACCACCTTTAGGTTAGAAGTCCAATGCTTTTAAACCCAGGGTCCCACCACAGTTCCTTCGTACAAAGCATCATAGTATACTACAAGGATTTAAAAATTGAAACAGAGATATTTTTCTATTTCACTACAAGAATGTAAACTGTTCATCTTTAGGCACCCTGGGAGCATGCCCTCCTCATCTGCACCATAAAGATCTTATATATTGGAGCATAGTTTATGGAGATTTCAGTATATTTTGGGTTTGCTTTTCTGTACATATTTTCTATGACTTAATAGTTAAAACTTAGAAGCTGTTGAGAGTCTTGACTTGCAGGCATTTAAGAAAAGGGAATTCATTGTGGAACTTGGGATTTGTGTGTGTGTGTGTGTGTGTATGTGTGTGTGTAATCTTCAGGGAATGAAATTATTCCCACTACTGTCAAACAAACGCTTTGTTACTGTCAATTCTTTTTGTATTTCCCTTTCAGCTCTCTCTGGAAAGTGCCAGAAGGTTAACTTTGTCTTAGAAACTTTGGATGTTAGCTTCCTTTTGCTTTGAATTGGGATTTTGAGTACATTATTGCCAGCATTGTTCATGCTTATCAATCAAGACAAACTTTTGCTCCCTTGTTATCCAAACATTTACCAGATTATCTCAAGTAGAGGGAGCTCTTAGCGGGTAAGGAATTGTGCTGCCAATTCAAAGGCAATAGGTTCAAATCCTCTAGCTGCTCCATAGGAGAAAGGTAGGTAATCTCATGTGCCATTTACTCTCCCTGAAAACCTGCTGGAGAGTTAGCTGTGAATTGGTTCCAACTTGATGTCCATGAGTAATGAGTCAGTATGCCAAATAGGTAGAAGAAAATCCCAAGTGGAGAGAAAGAGAGAGCGAGAAAGCTGGATTTTGTGATCTTGCACAAAGACTGAATCTCTATTTTATCTTTTGATACCATCTCTTTTCTCAAAACTGAGATATTAACATGAAATTCAGGAGTAAAATCCATGCACGTTTCCCCATTTGTATTATCTTTTTTTAAAAAATTATTTTATGTTGGCTTGCTTACAAAGTTCATATACATTATGTTTCACACTATCCTTCATTCACATTGTGTTTTACACAATCACTCCCATTCATTATATTTTATAAACTTTGTCACCCTTTAACTATGCCTACCATTGCCCTGTCTTTCCAGATCCCCATCTTTCCCATTTCCTTTACCCACTCCTCCCTCTGTCCATCAGATTGTGTGACCCTATAATTTCCCTCCTGCCCATCCTCACCCCTCTGCTCCTACCCTTCCCCTCTTGGATCCTCATACATGTTTTACTAGTTGTTGTTGTTGTTATGTGCCGTCGAGTCGTTTTCGACTCATAGCGACCTATGACAACAGCCGTAAACCCTGCTCTATCCTGCGCCAACCGCACTGCCCCCGACACACCCATCCCGATTACCCCAGTCACCGAATCAATCCACCTCATAGAGGGTCTTCCCCTCCTGCGCTGTCCCTCCACCCTCCCAAGCATGATGTCCCTCTCCAAGGACCCGTCCCTCCTGGCAACATGTCCAAAGTATGTCAGACGAAGCCCCAGAATCCTTGCCTCCAAGGAGTAGCTTGGTTTAATCCTCTCCAAGATGAATCTGTTTGTTTTCCTGGCAGTCCATGCGTGGTACATTCAGTACTCTTCTCCAGCACTACAGCTCAAAAGCATCCACTCTCCTTCTGTCCTCCCTTTCTTTTTCTACAATAATGGTCTAATGTAGTATGTGTCCTTATGAGACTGAATTCACTCAGCATAATGCTCTTCAGTGCCTCCCCAGTCATGTAGTAACTTTATAAATTATTGCTCCTGAGTGCTGTGTGGTATCCCATTGTCTGAATGTACCACAGTTTCTCAACCCGTTTGATTGTGTTTGGACATCTGGGCTGTTTCCATATTCCTTTGTATTATCCTTGATAATATTACTATCTCTTAGCTTGACTAATCAAGATTTGACTAGTTTGAAAAAGTGGAGAATTTTTAGAAACAAAGTATTTAAAAATCCTGTCACTTTTGCCTTTGTGTTTAAAAATTCCCTTACAGAGGAAAATAATACGTTTCGAGAAAGAATTTTATTCACTCAGTTATGGTTATTTTCCTAAAAGCTTATGTTTCCTTAACAAAAATAGATATAATTAAAAATATTCATTACCATCAAATTAGAACCAACTCATACCCTCCAGTGGGTTTTCAGAGGCTGTGATTCAGTTGACAGGAAATTGCCCATATGTCCCCCTAGGAAGCAGCTGACAAACTCAAGTTACCAGAGAGGTACTACCTTTGTGTTAGCAGTACAACTCTCTCAGGAAGAGGCTCCTTTTATTAGAAACCATTTGAATTACCAACTACATTGTAGTTCAAAACCAGAATTTTTTTTTCCATGTTGATAATTAGCAGAAAGGTGTATCAATTTCTCTAAGATTTATTTACTTATTTGTTAGATATGAACAAGCCTTTCTGACGAGTTTGGTTGGCTTGAGGCCAGAGAGGTATTTCTGGACGGGGCTGTCTGATGTTCAAACCAGAGGAACCTTTCAGTGGACCATTCAGGAGGAGGTTCGATTCAGCCACTGGAATGCTGAAATGCCTGGTATGTACACATTGGATCTAAGGGCTTCTTTCAACCTACAAGTCCATTGGGCAAGCCTGTGGTTCCTTCTTGTGTCTTTGGAAAGAGATTCTAAATTAATCACACTTGCAGTCAATACTCTTTGTACTTCTTTTTGTTTTGTTTTCCTTTCTCTCTAACATTTCAGTTACTTGTATGAGCTCCTAAGGAGAAAAAAAAGAAGAGAAAGTTGCTAGCTTATCTGGCCTTAAAATATTTGAGAGGCACTTCTGAAATCTGGGAGGGTTAGAAATGTTCATTTTGGGGTACTTATTTCTGAAACCTTAAAAAGACAACCTATTAAAAGGGTATAAAACATTTCCATGTAACTATGAGGGGAGATTTGTGGGGTGTTTGAAGTGGAGCCGGGGACAGTGCTAATGTGGAACTTACTCTTTCAAGTATCTCCCATGTGCCCGTATGTTCAGTCCTGGGCCTTCTGTGGTCATGCGCTCAGCCTCGTCTCACTCTTGAGAAGCAGCTGATGGTTCAGTCTACTGCTCCTCTGGCCGAGTGCACAGGATCAGGAGGTTCAGCTGAGGGAGTTTGGGCAGTCAGTGGGTCACAGGCTGTGCAGCCTCTGTCATCATCAACTCCAGAATTCTGCTAGTTGAGAAGGAAATTATAGGGGTTGGAGAAATGAATCGGGAGCTCAGACAATTACTTGAAAGAGATGTACCTCGCCAGCACTTTGAGAATTACTTTTGCACTCTCTTGCCCTTTATAATAATAATAATTTTTAAAAGCTACTCCTATTAGCAACTTTGAACATTGTGGAGATCTTGAGGGCAGCTCAGGATACGGCAACGCTTCTCTCTGTTATTTAGAGGGTTGCTATGGGTTGTGGTTGACTCTACAGCACCTAACAACAGCAACGATGTTAGCAGTGAGGGCTTCTGTTGTCATCTCAGATAATGACTATTTGGAAGCAGGCCTTAGTATTCCTCCTTTTGTATTATGTACATCACGTGTGACACTCACCACACCTCTATAAAGAAGGTAATGAAATTAGCATTAGGAGGCGGAATAAAATATGCATGATTTTCTAATTCAGATGTGATTACCTTCCTTTGAAGTCAGGCTTTATCTTACAGTCCAGGAAGACCTACACAGGCCCTCCAAAAGAGACAAAAGGAGGGGTGGGGGGAGAAGGATGGGTGAAAAGATAGAAAGAAGAAATGCAGTTTATGCTATTATTTCTACTGTTCTGGTAAATGTTATCAGCTAAAAGAATTTTATTATTAAGTATGCACCTGTGGGAATATACACCTAGATGTCAGAGATAAAAATATCATGAAAATGTAAATGAAAAAACTATAGTATAAAAAATTTTAAAAAGAAAACCTATCATTTGAATTTGTAATATCAAACGAGTTGTGAAAACCCTTCTATTGGAGATCATAAACAAGTCAAGGTTATGCAGTTATTGTGGTTACGTGTCACCTATAGGGCACACAAATCAATGGAATGTTAGTGTTCAAAGTCACTGTAGTCAAGTGCTGCGGCCTCTCTCCTCTGCAGCTTCTCACCACGTAGGTTTCACCACCCAATTAGACTCAGTTGTGAAAAGTCTTCCGAGCGGCCGATCCTCAGCAAGCACCAACTTAATGAATTCCACTTGATGTATTTTGTGCAGGACGGAAAACAGGATGTGTTGCCATGAGGACAGGGGCTGCTGGGGGACTATGGGATGTCTTGAAATGTGATGAAAAGGCCAAATTTGTGTGCAAACACTGGGCAGAAGGGGTAACTCGCCCACCAGAGCCCACCACAACTCCTGAACCCAAATGCCCCGAGGACTGGGGCACCACCAGTAAATCAAGCTTGTGTTTCAAGGTAAGGGTAGTTGTTAAGCTATGGAAGAATTTGGAACATGTTTTAGATAAATGTATCACCCCTAAAATTTGAAAAGAACAACAAAAACAATATTTAAGCTAAGACTCTAGGAACTCCAATTTTTTTCTGGAGGAAACAGTATTTAAAGAGCTCCCTGTTTGGTGAATGCTAATGACCAGTCAAGACTGAGAATAGCTGCCTTTAGGCCAAGGGGCACTACCCAGATCCAAGGTACCAGAGCCTGCCTCCAATATGCTCTGTCTTTTTAAATCCCTTTCTCCTTCTCTCCTTCTTACTAAGCTTTGTCTTCTTACTCTGGGTTTACACTTCTTTGCGTCTGGATATAAATTTCTGTTTGCACTATTACACCTCATTTGCTCTGTTCTCAGGGCTCAAGCTTTTAGCCATCTTAATTAATAGTCTCAAGGAATGTAACATAGACATTCTATAGACAATGCTGCCCTTTCTCAATTTAAACTCTGGTTATCAGAATGGTAGAGGACTAAAGCATTGATAGGAGTTAGGAGCACATGGCCTTTCAAGGCCTTTCAGATAACATGGCAATATTTTTCCTGTCCATTTATATGCTCCATTTGGTTGATGATATTAACCCACCAGTCACTCTGTGAGAAAAAGAGGGGCAGTCTCCTATTGTAAAGATTTACACTCTGGGTAACTTGATAAGGGGAAGTGTCTATGAGTTTTTCTTTGTTATTTTATTATTATTTTCTCTGTCTGCAATCAAGTTGACCAAAACAACAAACCACGTGATAACTTTTTACGGAAAATATTGTTGTTAGATGCAATTAAGTCAATTCTACTCAGAGTAACCTGATGTACAACAGATTAGCCAGACAGAAATGTGTTCATATTCTGCTGAATGGAATTATTTTTTAATAGTCCTGCTCTCTGGACGTTTTCTTACTCAGGCGTTTTGGATTACATGCCAAGACATGTAAGACAGACGAGGCTGATAAAGAAGAACTTGAATTACTAATTTCTGTCAGAATGATGTTGTTCTGTCTTCTTTAGCTCAAGAGGGATGTGGCTAGTTGTTAGGTTGGCTACTTTCATTAGTAACAACAAGAGATACTTAACCTCTTCGGTCCAGAAATACTTGTTAAGGGTAAAGCTTAATTCACATACAATGAGATATAATGGGCCAATACAGGGTAGGATTTTGGAACTGGCTTGTTTGAGGACTCATAAAAGGAAAATGAAGGCCTGATTTATGTTACAACATGAGTGAAACATTACGCTGAATATTGAATTAAGTCAATAAGAAAGGGACAAGTGTGATATGGGCTCAGTTTCACTTACATGAAATATCTAGGATAGGCATGTATATTCAGACCATGATTTTACTCATGGCTATCACTGACTGGATATAAAGAAGGGAAAAGGAAATTCCGTCATTCTGGGCACACTGAGCTTCTGTTAAGGAAGATGGGAGAACTTGAAAACAGAGAATGGTAATTGCTGCACTTTAATATTACCGACTTGTGCATGTAAACAACAAAAAGGCAAGCTGGGTATTTTCCCTCGGGAAATGGATGCATTACACAGAGCCCAGCCTGCCACCGACTAACTGTTCGCACAACCATAAGTTGGAGATGGTAAGCTAAAGCTACGAATGTTTGCGGGAGGTCTTAGAGAGAAGGAGCAGAACTGTCCAGAGCCAGAAAGTAAACGAACTTGACAATAAGACAGTATCAAAGGGAAGATTAAAAAAATCCAAGTATGTGCTCACTAGAAATGAAATGTTTTAGAGGTGGTTAGGGGTACTTCTAAATTTCCCTGGACAACTATTAATAATGGAGAGTCAGCAGAGGAGAGGAAGACCCCTGTGTGAGCTGGAGTGACACAGTGACTTCAGCAGTAGGGCCTGGTGTGTCAGAGGTGATGAGGATAGCACAGAACAGAGCAGGGTTCAGCTCGGCTGTTCATACAGTCGCTATGAGTTGTACTCAACTAGCAGCACCTACCAACACCAATCACAGTTACAGTTTGTAGAGAATTGCTCACTAACCCTGAAGTCGGGACTCTCTGGCTTTTTAATACATTCTACAGGGGCAAGATGGGCAAAGTGTTGCCATGCCATTTACAGCCTTCACAAACCCACTGGAGGGTCAGCTATGAGTAGAATCAATGGCAATGAAGTTTTGGATATATACAGAGCTGCTCTATTTGATATTTATCAGCATCTGGGAATTATTAGCAGAATCCAGATTTCATTCCAGAGAGTTGTGGGACTCACTGAACTCTTGGGAGTTAGTGACGTAGTTGTGTGCCCAGGGCACTTCTGCCCACTAGAATGAGAATTGAGGAAAAGGTCACCATAGCTTGTCTGATGTCAGCTGGGCAGTCATCGTCCATCAGGAGCAAATAACCTTTTCTTACAAGGCTATGATGACGGCAATCATGACTCAGAGACATAATGATGAACATTATGAAAAATTTGTGGATGAAAATTTTTGCACCATTTGTTCATAAAGTCAACGGCAATCAAAAACAACTTGCACACTGTTTGGATACTGACAGATATGCCCCTGATTGTCACTATGGATTCTGTTTCACTGACTGTGAATTCCATTTCACTGCTCTTTTGAATCTTCTGGATAATGTGACATGGTCCCTCAAATACATAATCTATTAAAAAGAAGTCTATTTAGTTTAGCTTATATCTTTTTTTTTTTAATGTCATTACTAGACAGTAGTCTACTGTGGCATGTACTTCAGTAGTTGTTAAAATAGACAACCTTAAGGGGCAAAATGACAAAATAGTTCTGTTGACAAGACCAACCAAGTGGAGTCCCTGGGTGGTACAAATGGTTGACTCAGGTAACTGCTAAAGGAGGCAATAGTCCTTTCTGAGAAGGACTGAAGGCGTCCTGAGAAGCACTGAGGAATCTGAAAAGAAAGGCAGCTGAAAAGACAGCTATTTATTGGAAACTCCACGCACAGTTCTCTGGCATACATGGGGTTGACACGAGTTGAAATATACTTAACAGCAGCTATAAGCTATGGCACAATCATGGAGAGGTCATTTCCCTGAATGGTTTTCTAGGTCATGTTTAATTTCTCTATATCCAAAGCTTCTTTCTTTCTTTCTTTTTTTAACATCTTGATTCCAATTTTCACTCAACCAAATGTTTGGTCTAAAATTTCTCCTATGCTAAAAAATTTAACCCTAGGATTTCCTCAACAAAATCACCCTCCAACTTTTGTTACTCAAATATGAACTTTATTTAATAAGAGAATGTATTTTAGATGACAAGAATTGCATTCATTTGGTACACATTTTTTTGAGATAGAAGAGAAATTTCGCCAAAGGTACTTTATTTAATAAGAGAATGTATTTTAGATAACAAGAAATAAATGAGGGAGAGAACAGTTTAAAAGCGATGTAAGATAGGGTATTATGGTTATCACAAGAGTCCAGAATTAAGGTTGCATAGTGGAATGTATTCGGGGCAGGGGGCTGGGGAGAGCACGGGGTGGGGGGCGGGAATTGTATACCAATGAAGGAATTTTACTTTTCAAAGAGAGGAGCAAAATGGTGGGGAGGGGTGGGCAGGGAGAAAAGTGCAACAATGAATGAATGGAAATCCAAAATCTCTGTAAATGTTCACTAAAATTAATAAAATTTAAAAAAAGAAGAATTGCATTCGTTTGGTATATTGCCTTTTTTTTTTTTTTGAGATAGAAGAGAAATTTCACCAAAGATTGAAGAATAACTTCTTTTGATTTAATGAATTCTGAAGTCTTAAACATCTCTTGCAATCAATCATGTCTTTTTTTTTTTTTTCTTCTTAGCTTTATACAAAAGGAAAACACGACAAGAAAACGTGGTTTGAGTCTCGGGATTTCTGCAGAGCCTTAGGAGGAGATCTAGCTAGTATCAATAACAAAGAGGAACAGCAAGCCATATGGCGGTTGATAACGTAAGGATTTTTCCTGTGGATTCTTCTTGCCTTTTATTGATTTCATGAAAATGATATCAGATCATTTTACTGAAGTTGTTTGCTCACACTAATAATGTATTTGCATCATATCCCAAATTTGTGTGGCCCTTTGGTTGAATTTCACTTCCTCATACTTAATTGTGTGGGCACACATCCAGCAACAAATTTCTCTGTAAAAGTACAAGACACTCAAACTGACAGCAACTCGGCCAATTAGATCAAAATCTTAAGGGACCATGACTGTATGCTAATGGGTGAGAAAGAGCTCAGAAAAGGAGGTTGAGCATGGTTCATATCTAAAAAATGTAATCAGTGTCAATTATACATGTCGTAACTATTGAGTTGGTATGTATTTTGCTGTGTATAGTCTGAAATTTTAAAATGGAAAAGAAAAAAAGCACAAGTCAATAACATATTTGTTCAAAGAGTGAATGAATGACCATATTTTGATACTTTTTTATCAATTATTTATTCTTGAACAACTGCCCACATTCAGGCTATCTGTGGGCTCTATCAACATGTGTATGGACTAGATAAAGCTTCAATTTAGTCATTTATGTCTCTTATTTTATGTTCTGACCAATTTATGGTTTGGAGCCAACTTTCAAATATGGTATGCCCGCACAGATTACCAAACTGTTGTCATGCTAAAGTCTGTTTTATGTCTTGTGTATTGTAGGAGCAGGTCGAGCTACCACGAACTCTTCTGGTTGGGACTGACATACGGCAGTCCTTCTGAGGGCTTTACTTGGAGTGATGGTTCTCCTGTGAGTAATTGGATATGTGTTCTTTTCATTTTCATCTTATATTTACCTTAAATTTATCATCTGGTTTAATCCAAATTTCAGCTGTTGTTAGGTGCTGTTAAGTTGGTCTTACAACGGTCCTGTGAACAACAGGATGAAATACTGCCCAGTTCTCGGCCATACTCCTGTGCCCACTGTGCCCAAGCCATGGTTGCAGGCACTGTATCAGTCCATTTCATTAAGGGTCTTCCTCTTTTTTAATTGATCCTCTGCTTTGTAAAACATGATGTCTTCCTCCAGGGATTGGCCTCTTCTGGTAACATGTTGGAACTATGTGAGCTAGATAAAGCCATGCCTTCCTAGTAAGAGTCACTCCATCTGTACTTCTTCCATGATAAATTTGTTTGCTTTTTGGAAGTCCATGGTGGATTACTCTTGACAGCACCACAATCCAAATGCATCAGTTCTCTAGTCTTCCTTAGCCAATTTTCAGATGTATAGGAAGCAATTGTCAAGTACATTGTCTTAGATCTTTAAACTTCTATTCTTTCTCTTAAACACTTTAAAGAGGTCCTTGGAAGCAAATTTGCCCATGGCAATATGTCATTGGAGTTTTTGACTGCTGCTTCCATGAGTGTTGATTGCAGATCCAAATACAAAGAGATCCTTAACAACTTCAAATTTTTTAGTAAGTGTTTGTTCATTATGAAAGCTTAGAGACATTTTTCCCAAGGGAAGAAAAGAAACAAAACAAAACAACTACTTTTTGGATTAGGGACTAGTCTTGTTCTTGTTTTTTCTTGTAATTGTCTAAGACATCGCTTTACAGCATGGCTAACTGGACCAAAGAAAAGAGACAAGTGAAAGCACGCTATAATGAAAGTGTGAAATGAAGATATAATGTCTTTCTTCTAGGATACAAAATGGGTATGATGGGAGTTGATTTTTTTTTTAATTGAGCATTGTACAGCATTTTGTAGGTCAGTGGGCCTGGACGCAACTTCTGATATTCCATTATTAGTTGTTGGACTTTGTCAGACTTCGTGTCACAGAATGCAGAAGTGAGAGGCGTAGGCATTTTGCAGCTCTAAACATCAAAGGAAGCTGCTTGACGTAATTTCAGTCCTACCTCCTCAAAGAACCCACCTGCAACTTTTTGGGTCACTTGGACGGTGTATATGCTAGCTTCACTGAGAGCTGCATTGTATATTTAGATCTCTGGATAATAGACAGAACCCTGTGAGGTAGTATTGCAACATCAAAAAGTCTATAAACTCATTGCCAGCAAGTCTAAACTCAAGTTTAAACTCGCTCTGCCTCCAGAGAGTTTCCAAGGCTGTAACTTTCATAGACTTAAACTACCACATCTTTCTCCTGAGGAGTGGCCGACAATTTGAACTTGCCAGCTGCTTAGTTAGCTGCTAATAACTTTAAGTACATTGCCAGGCCTCTCTGAAAACTCTATGCTGTGAGGTCTAGTCTGACTCATAGTGATCCTATGGGACAGAGCAGAATTGCTTCACGGAATCTCCAAGGCTGTAAATCTTTGCAGAATCAACTATTCCATCTTTCTCTATGAAGAGGCTGGTGGATTAGAATCCCTGATGTGGATAACAATTGAGGGCTTTAAGCATGACACCACCAAATCCAAGGCTTCTAAATCCAAGGCCTCCTTTTTTTCTACTGATAATTTTGTAAAGTTTGATAGGTTTATGATATTTCTTAGCTCTTTTTCTTTTGTAAGAAGAACTAGTTGTATTTTCTTGTCCTAGATAGCTAATAAAAAGAAAGCACATAACATCACAGTAAAAATATTATCTCTTAAACATGGGTTATTATTCATTTAGAAACTCCTAGCCCTGAGGGGATGTAGCTTTTTCCCCCCTAGGTTTTCCTCCTACATATAATTCCAACTTTCCTCGTCCTAAATCCTGTTAATGACACTAAAACAATACTATAATAATCAGCAACATACTCTGTTTAACTTCAACAGTTTCTGTGTAATCAAATCTATCTACTCCCCACCTTTACTTGTAAACTTTGCTTTCAAAGCAAAGCTATTGTGAAAAAGCAAAAACGCAAATGGATAAATATAACTTTCCTTTCCCCTTGAGGTAGATTATTGGAATTATCCTGACATCAATGGGAAATGATTATATAAATGGGAAAGAACTGCAATTTACTCTCTTTACTATAGGTTTCATATGAACACTGGGCTTATGGAGAGCCTAATAATTACCAAAGTGTTGAATATTGTGGTGAGTTGAAAGGTGACCCTGGCATGTTCTGGAATGATATTAACTGTGAACATCTTAACAACTGGATTTGCCAGATTAAAAAAGGTATGATAATCTTTCTTCTCCTTTATTTTGGGTTGGGGAACTAAACACCAGGACTCTCAATCTCCCAGTCTCTCCCCCTTAACAGAAACCAAACAAACACAATTAAAAAAAAAAAAAATTAAGGGAGCCATCATTTCAGAAGATAACAATGAAGTCTCTGAGTACAGATAAATGTTCTAAAGGAACAGAAGATCAAAAGGCCTCTGGGAATCCAGGGTGGAAATCACGTCCTCCTTCCTGACCAGTTCCCATGAGCTCTGGTTCTGGCTCCGGTTCTAGGGTGAGAAGTGAGAGCAGGAAGATGCACTTTGTAAGCAGAACAGTGAAATAATGAAATTTCCCCCCATTGTCCCTCCTCTATTAATTATCAAAATAAGTGAGAGTTTCCCCAAATGTGAATATGCTAAGTATTCGTTTTTTTAGGTAAATAGTCAACAGAAAGAACAAGCACAATTTTTTAAAAAATTATTTTTAATGAAAATTTACAGAGATTTAGGGTTTCCATTCATCCATTGTTGCACTTTTCTCCCTGTGCACTCTCCCCCCAAATTTACTTTTCTCCTTGAAACGTAAAACAAAAATTCTTTCATTGTTATACAATCCCTCCCCCAAGTCCACTCCACTGTGCAGCCTTCATTCTGGACTCCTGTCATGACAGTTATACCCAATCATATATCCCTTAAACCCCTGACGGCTCTTGTTGTTTTGTACCGTCAAGTCAGCAGGTTTTCAGAGGCAATTAATCGCACAAGCAGAGATTTCCCATCCTCTCCCATGGAGCAGCTGATGACCTCGAACCATGTGCCTTCTGGATTACAGTGCAGCTTCTTGCCACTTGACCACCAGAACTCACTTACTGCTCTTCTGAATCATTGAGGATCAAAATATTAAACACTTGCCATCAGTCTTCAGTGTGACTCACAAAGTCCTACATAGCCAAATAAGGGGTCCAGGCCATTACGATTAGATAGATACAAAGAAAAAAGAGAGAAGGATAATAAAAATAAAGTATATGGACAAACCCACAGATCCTTAAACAAAAAGATACACCAACTTTGGCTGTCAACAGATAAACGGAACTGCACTGCCCTCTAGTGTTAGGAAGTCTCAGCAAAGATTTCAACCCCCCTGCAGGAGATAGTGGATGGGTTTCCTGCTGTCTGTAGATTTCTTTTCTTTATTCTTTGTGCCAGAGCAGTGCTTTCCTCAGAATCAGAGTGAAAGTTTGCTAGCTTTTAAGAGGGCTCTCAGTGATCAATTGACTATTATACCTTTTGCATTATGAGTAATTATAATATTAACTCAATTCATTGCTGTTGAGTAGGATCCGACTCACCGCTGACCGACCCTTCTTTGGGTTTCTGAGGTTCTAAACTACATGGGAGGAGAGTGTGCATCTTTCACCTTTGTAGACATTCAAACAAACCTCCAAAGAGCTGCAGTCTTTGGGTGAGCAGCACAATTCTCTGCCACCAGAGCTTTTCAATTCTACTTCTGGTGGTGGTGGTGGTAGTGGTGGTGTGCCAGGAAGTTGGAACTGACCTATACCTGACCTAGTGGGTTTGCAGAGGCAGTTTATCGCCCAGAAGGAGTTTGTGCAGCCTTCTCCCACCCAGCAGTTGGTGGATTCAAATCACAGGCATTCGGGATTGTAGTGCAGCTCCTTGCCAGTAGTACTGCTGTTGTTGGTGTTATGTGCCGTAGAGCCCTAAGTCCTGCTCTATACTGTGCCAACCTCATCCTCTCTGATACGCTCACTCCCACCACCCCAATCACAGAATCGATCCATCTCATTGAGGGTCTTCCTCTCCTGCACTGTCCCTCCACTCTCCCAAACATGATTACTGCTACAGGATATTAAATATATTAGACCAAAACCTAAGTACCCGGAACCGTTTTATCAAATTTCAACAAAGTCCAAATCTATCATTACATACTTACAAAGAAAAATGTTATGTTTATTTTTTTTAAGTACATCATTAATTAAAACAAAATCCATTGAGGAAGATACAGTTTATATTTTATAGCTAAAGTAGTCACATTTAATTGTTTCAAATAATGACATTCTCAATCTAAAAAATTTCACAGCTACATGTACTTAGTGATTTCTTAGTTTACAGAAAACATTTGTTATGTACTGATAAGTATCACTCACATTTATTTGCTGTGTGTATCATCAAGTCAGAACCAACTCATAGCGGGCCCTCTCTTGTTGCTCTTGTTGTTTTGTATTGTCACGCCAGCAGGTTTTCAGGGACATTAATTGCAGTGTAGAAGATTGCCCATGTTTCTCCCAAGGAGCAGCTAGTGCATTCGATCCAGATACCTTTAGGTTGTAAGCACAACTCCTTGCCACTAAACCACTAAGAGCTCCACACATATTTAACTTTACATACTTATTATCAATTCCTTTCTGCATTTGCAAAATTAGAGCTACTAATTTGAATCTAGGTTTATTGATTCCCCAAAAAAATGTTCTTTTCCTTTTCTGTTTGCACTCAAAAAAGCAGACATTTGAGCACATTTTTAATTTCATTTTTCTTTTGTTTTATAGGACAAACACCCAAGCCTGAACCAACACCAGCTCCTCAAGACAGTAGGTGTTTCTTTGTTTTCTGGTTACCATATCTCCAGTCATTTTTCTTCTTTTTCTTTGTCAGTGAAAACTTGCTTGCCCTTGGAAGGTATAGTGCAGTAGTTAATATCTTTGAGACTCTCATGACAGTGAGGTCATCCTCTCCAGAGAGATGCTGAAATGTGCAGACATAAAGCTAAGAACACAGGATCTCAGATATGCATGATTATCTCAAACTATCAGCACTCTACTCAATTCGGTCCAATTGGAACCTATTCATAGTTCACCCTCCAGTGGAGTCTCTGAAGTTATAAATTGCACAGGAGAATATTGCCCATCTTTCTCTCCTGGATCCCTTGAAGAATTCGAACCCTCAGAGAGGTGCTATCTTTGGCTTAGCAGTGCTGCTCCCTCTCCACCAGGTCACTAGATCTCCCTAACCAATCACTACTGTACTTTTTAAAAGTAATTATACTATTGCACAATGCTAAGAACATTAGTCTTATCAGATCCTTTCAAAGTCTAGGCTTCATCATTAACTACTTGCTCTTTAGTACAGAACCTTACATTCCATGGGTTGGAAGAAGCCTTAGGAACCACTTGGTAACGGAATTTTCTGGCATTCCATTTCTACCCTGAAGCATCCTAGTCCAGTTGTTAGAAAACGCTTTCTTCTCTTGGGCTACCATCCATGTGCTCACCACTTCAACTGGTGGATGTAGAGCACCAAGGGTGGATGAATGTCAGTTCATTGAGCAGGCACAATCTGGGCTCTCAGAATTGCTGTTAGCTTGGATAGAACTACAATGTCCTTTCCATTTTGTGTTTGGGGTATACCCAATACTTGAATTCTTTTTTTCCCCCCAATAATTTTAATGAGCATTTACAGAGAATTTGGATTTCCATTCATTCATTGCTGCACTTCTCTACCTGCCCAGCCCTCTTCCCCCATCCCCCAGTTCGCTCCTCTCTTTCAAAAGTAAAAGACTCCTCCCTGGTACACAATCCCCCCCGCACGGCTCCCACCACCCCAAATACATTCCACTATGCAACCTTAATTGTGGACTCTTGTAATAACCATAACACCCTATCATACATCACTTTTAAATTATTCAGTCCCTCATCTGTTTCAGTGCAGTATACACAATT